CTCTCCCAACTCCCCGTCCCTACTCTCTCTAGCCACACAGGCCTCTACTATGCCTTGAACATATCAGGCATGCTCCTAACCCAGGATCTTTGCACATGCTGAACCCTTTTCCTGGAATGTCCTTCCCCAGTTGTCTCCATAGGTCACAACCCGACCTCCTTCAGAGGTCAAATGCCACTTTTGTGAGGCCTTCCATGGCCACTTGACACTCCCTATCACCCCTCTCTGCTTTATTTTTCTCCTCACAGCTTTTTATCATCTAATATACTCCAACTTTCTGCTTAGTGATCTTGTGTAATGCCTGACCTCACCCACTAGAAGGTAAGCTCATGTCTGTTTTGTTCACCACTGAGAACAAAGCTACTGCTCAGAACCTAGAGATGCTCAATAAATCCTTGGTGGACGAATGCTGCATTCTTTTAGGGGAGCATTATTCTTTTAATACACTCCACTTCCTAACGTTTTTTAAGATTCTGTGTTAAGAGTTTTGTTTTCTATTTAAATTTGCCTATAGCTCTTTTCTTTTTTGGCATATTGATCAATTTTTATTTACTCTTATTTTCCTCTAGTGATTCGGAAGTTCTACATCTTGTTCTGAATCTTGGTTATATCTGTATTATAAAAAAGATATTTGAGTTTTATGTCTCTATCAGTGTTAAGAATAAAACACAATCTAAATCCATCCAAAGTAAAATGAGAATTTTAACAAACTTTTCTCCCTCCCTGTTCTCACTCCCAGCCTGTTTTTACAGAAATAACTTGAGGTAAGGGCAGGTAGGACATCCATCCCAGATGCTCAGATAAGACCTCCCCAGGAGGTGATGCTTGAGCTGAAACCCGCATACTGAGAAGGAGCAGCCACAGGCAGTCTGAGGGAAGCGTTCCCAGTGGAGGGCCCAGCAGACGCAAAGCCCCTGGGCTGGGTAAGATCAGGGCACACTTGAGGAACTGAAAGGAGGTCAGCATGACTGGGGCAGTGGAATGCAGACAAGCGGACAGACGGAGATCCGTTCTGAAGACAGATGTGGGGGGACAGAAAGGGAAAAACTGAAGGGTTGACTCTTGGGCTTTGGCCAGTCACCTGAGGAGAATGGGGCTATTTACAGAAATGGGGAGAACTGGAGAGTGGTCATTTGGGGGTTCTGTCTGAGGTGCATGAAGCACGAGAAGCCTGTTAAGCAGCAGGTGCAGAAGCTGAGGAGGTGGCTGGGGAGTGGGTGGGTGCATGAGAGGCACGCAGAGGTGGGCTTTGGGCACCACCAGCAGGTACAAGGTAGTCAGTGTCCAGGCTGGATGAGAGCACCTGGTGGGAACAAAGACAGAGGCTCACCAAGATTAGGGGTGTGAGCAAAGGGTCAGTGAAGGAGACCCGGAGGAGTAGCTGGTAAGGTGGGAGAGGCCCATCGTGTGGGCATGCTGCAGCAGAGTGCGGACAGCACTCCTAGAAGGGGTGAATGCCTTGAATGCAGCCGAGAGTCGTGTCAGCTGGGACCACTCTCAGCACCCTGCCTGTATGAACTGATTCCATCCCAAAACAACCCTACAACTTGGGCACCATGATCACCCCATTTTCTAGACAAGGTCCCAAGAGAGGCTAAGTAACTCACCCAAGGTCATTAGTGTCCGTAAGAGTAGGAGCCAGCATCCACCCCAAGCAGTCTGGCCCCACAGCCCACAGTCCTAACTACGGCACCATGTGGCCCCTGGAGAGGGTCCTTGGCCCCTTAAAGCCACAGACTCTAGCTTTAACAAGCTGGTGAGGGTTCCTCAAAAAATTAAACATAGAATTATCAAACGACCCAGTATTCCATTCCTAGGTACACACCCAAGAGAACTGAAAACATACATTCACACAAAAATTGTGCATGGATGTTCACTGCAGCATTATTCATAATAGCCAAAAAGTGGAAACAACTCAAATATCTGTCAGCTGATGAATAGGCAAACAAAATGTGGTATATCTATGTAACGGAATATCATTTGGCAATAAAAAGAATGAAATACTGATACAGGCTGTAACAGGGATGAATCTTGAAAACATTATGCTAAGTGAAAGGAGCCAGACAGAAAAAACCACACATTATATGATTCTATTTATATGAAATGTCAAGAACAGGCAAATCCATAAAGACAGAAAGTAGATTAGTGGTGCCAGAGATTGGGGGAAGGAAGAATGAGGAATGACTGCTAATGAGTACAGGGCTTCCCTTTGGGGATGATGAAGAAATGTTCTAGAATTAGAATAGCAGCAGCAACAGTTGCTAGGCACTGTGAATGTACTAAAAGTCCCCGGATTGTACACTGTAAAATGATTAAAATACTGAATTTTATGGTAGGTGAATTTTACCTCCATTAAAAAAAAAGCCAAATTTTTTATTTAACTACTGTATTTCTGTACATTTGTGGAAAGAAATGATGGAGAAGCTCAATAGTCAGAACACGGCCAGGGGCCGACTGCAGAACAGACCATCAATTGCTTATATGCAAGTTCAAGTTGAAGCTGAAGAAAATTAAAACAAGTCCACGAGAGCTTCAGTATACCCCATCTGAATTTAGAGACCATCTCAAGAACAGATATGACGCACTGAATACTAATGGCCGAAGATCAGGCGACATGTGGGATAATATCAAAGACATCATACATGAAGAAAACAAAAGGTCACTAAAAAGACAAAAGAGAACGAAAATACCAAAATGGATGTCAGAAGAGACTCTGTAACTTCCTCTTGAACGTAGACAAAGTAAAGTATTATAACGAGATACGCAAAGACCTGGAGTTAGAAAACCAAAGGGGAAGAACACGCTTGGCATTTCTCAAGCTGAAAGAACTGAAGAAAAAATTCAAGCCTCGAGTTGCAACGGTGAAGATTCTATGGGCAAAATATTCAATGATGCAGGAAGCACCAAAAGAAGATGGAAGGAGTACACAGTCACTGTACCAAAAATAATTAGTTGACGTTCAACTGCTTCAAAACCAAATAACCAAATCCACTGCCACAGAGTCCATTCTGACTCACAGCGACCATATAGGACAGAGTAGAACTGCCCTATAGGGTTTGCAAGGCCATAATCTTCACAGTCAGTGAAAAAGAGGAAGACCCTCAACGAGATGGATTGACACAGTGGCTGCAACAATGGGCTCAAGAATAACAATGATTGTGAGGACGGCACAAGACCGGGCAGTGTTTTGTTCTGCTGTACATGGGGTCGCTATGAGTCAGAACCGGCTCAATGGGACCTAACAACAACAACAACAATCTTTACGGACGCAGACTGCCACATCTTTCTCCTGCAGAGCGGGCTGGTGGGTTTGAACTGTCAACTTCTCGGTTTGCAGCTGAGCGCTTAACCACTGTGCCACCAGGGCTCCTCTGCATTGGGCAAATCTGCTTCAAAAGACCTCTTTAAAATGTTAAGGAGCAAAGATGTCATTCTGAGGACTAAGGTGCTCCTGACCCAAGCCATGGTATTTTCAATCGCCTCATATGCACTGGTATTGGTGAAAAACAAGACTCCAGGAATTGACGGAATATCAATTGAGATGTTTCAAGAAATGGATGTAGTGCTGAAGTGCTCACTCATTTATGCCAAGAAATCTGGAAGACAGCTACCTGGCCAATCGACTGGAAGAGATCCATACTCATGCCTATTCCCAAGAAAGGTGATCCAACCGAATGTGGAAATTATCCAATAATATCATTAATATCACACACAAGTAAAATTTTGCTGAATATAATTCAAAAGCGGTTGCAGCAGTATATCAACAGGGAACTGCCAGAAATTTAAGCAAGATTCAGAAGAGGACTTAGAACCAGGGATATCATTGCTGATGTCAGATGGATCCTGGCTGAAAGCAGAGAATACCAGAAAGATGTTTACTTGTGTTTTATTAACTATGCAAAGGCATTTGACTGTGTGGATCATAACAAATTATGGATAACATTGCGAAGAATGGGAATTCCAGAACACTTGATTGTGCTCATAAGGCAGTTGTTCGGACAAAACAAGGGGATACTGCGGGGTTTAAAGTCAGGAAAGGTGTATATCAGGGTTGTATCCTTTCACCATACCTATTCAATCTGTATGCTAAGCAAATAATCCAATAAGCTTATATGAAGAAGAACGGGGAATCAGGATTGGAGGAAGACTTATTAACAACCTGTGTTAGGCAGATGACACAACCTTGCTTGCTGAACGTGAAGAGGGCTTGAAGCACTTACTGATGAAGATCAAAGATCACAGCCTTTAGTATGGATTATGCCTCAACATAAATAAAGCAAAAATCCTCACAACTGGACCAGTAAACAACATCATGATCAACGGAGAAAAGACTGAAGTTGTTAAGAATTTCATTTACTTGGATCCACAATCAACGCCCATGGAAGTAGCAGTCAGGAAATCAAAAGATGCGCTGCCATTGGGCAAATCTGCTGCAAAAGACCTCTTTAAACTGTTGAAAAGCAAAGATGTCACCTCAAGGACTAAGGTGCGCCTGACCCAAGCCATGGTATTTTCAATTGCATCACGCATGTGAAAGCTGGACAACGAATAAGGAAGACTGAAGAACTGACACCTCTGAATTGTGGTGTTGGCAAAGAATATTGAATACACCATGGACTGCCAAAAGAACGAACAAACCTGTCTTGGAAGAAGTACAACCAGAATGCTCCTTAGAAGTAAGGATGGCGAGACTATGTCTTACATACTTTGGACATGTTTTCAGGAGGGATCAGTCCCTGGACAAGGACATCATGCTTGGTAAAGTGGAGGGTCAGTGAAAAAGAAGACCCTTGATGACATGGATTGACACAGTGGCTGCAACAATGGGCTTCAAACACAGCAATGATTATGAGGATGGCGCAGGACCGGGCAGTGTTTCATTCTGTTGTACACACAGGGTCACCATGAGTCGGAACTGACTTGATGGCACCTAACAACAGCAACAACAACAACTGTGTCTCTGGTAAATTTTTGTCATGAGATTCCCGAGAGTCACTGACCTTGCTTCTCTGGGTTGCGGACCTGGGACGGTATGTCTTGGATTTCCAGGGTCCATTCCCCTTCAGCCTTTTCTCCCCAGCAGTGGACGGTCATGAATTCCCAGTTTGTAAACCCTTCGTTGGAATGATCCAACAATCTGGAATTAGAAATGTGGTGTCATACAATGAGGGCCTGAAATGGGAGGAGGGCGGGGGCTGCTGTGGATGCCACTCTCCTGCATCCAAGTTTCCCCAGTCGACTGTACCGATGGGCAAGGTGCACCATAAGGGTGGCAGTGGGAGACAGCAGGGGAAGAGGGCACCTGGCCTTCAGCTGCTGCAAGGGAGAAGGTGTCAGTTAAACGCTGATTGTTTCAAACTCTTGTTTTCTACCACGGATCTTCACCTCCATTTTCTCCCTGAACCTCCCAAACATCCTGAGAGGGAGGCAGGCCTCACGCGTGCCCAGTGTAACACAGGGACGTGGTAAATGATGGTCCTTGCCCTCCTTTCCCAATTCACAGACTCTAGGTTGAGTGGCTTCTGCAGGCCCAAAGGCCAGTAGCCAGCTGAGCTGGAACTCACCTGGGGACATTCTGACTCCTTGCCCTGTGTTCTTTCCATCACCAGCAGGTGTCTACGAGGTCCCAGGTGAATGCTCTCCCTCCTGCCCCAATCTTCCAGGGGTGCTTGGTCCCCTCCTACCCCAGGAACGACCTTACAGGCTCACAGCCCCAATGCCTGGATGCACAGAAGCAGACAGGGTTGGCTGCTCAACCCTCCCATTTAAACCCAATGGTCTTTACAAATGAAGCCTTTAAAATGCTTGTTTGTGGAATGAATGAAACTTTCACATCTGTCTTAGAGCCAGCGCTTGTGCAACGTTCTCCATAAGATACACAAGTTTTGTCCCCTATTCTCTGGGGATTAACAGGCTTCAACAGTGGAGTTCAGGGGGGAGAAGCCAGCTGATAACAGATGCAGTTGTTTTCCAGTGCCTGCAGGAGGCTCACCCAGCTTTGAGGAGGCACCCTGGGTGTAGCCCTTCGGTGGAGGAGGAGAAGGAGGTTCCCTCCCACTTCAGCAAAGCCCCCCCTGCAGGTTCTGATGACGCTCCCTTTGTCCTTCCAGACTGGAATGTCTTTCCTGACCCTACCCACAAGTCCCTGGGGCTTCAGCATCGGCCATTTTCTTGTGTTGGGTAGCAGGAGAAACAGGAAGTAACTAATGACACCCTCTGTCTTCCAACACCTGGCCACCTTCTCAGTCTACCCTCCCTAGAAGAAACAATTCCAGCTTCTTCTGTCTTACTCTTTCTTCATAGTCTAATTTTTCCAACTCTATTTTGGAATAAAAATTTTAAAATGGAGGTAGGGGCTTTTTACTGTTCATCACAAATTCAAATACATAAGCTTTATGCGGTAAAACTCAAATTTCTGACTTGGGGATTTGCTGAATGACTGATGTTTAAAAATGTTTGTCGAAGGAGCATTCGTTCGTAAGGAGAATCGGGGAGGAGACCCCGGTACTCTTTTCTAAGTAACTGCAAAGGTCAAGGCTGGTGTTCACACATGACACCTAATTGAACCCCACACGCTAGAGAAAGAACAAGAACAAACTGTCTTTTAAGTGCTGAGGTGCTTAAGGAATGTCAGGTTGTTCTTAGTGAAAAAATCTGACAACCTGTAACAGCTGCAGAATTAAGTAAAAGGTGAAATAAAATAGAAAGCAATAGATACTAAAACACAAACCCATGATACTATCACAAAGTCAGACTTGGAAACAATAAATTCCCAAGGCTCAGGGGACCGCTCTGTGGCCTCCGGGCATTTTTTCAGTCCTTGATAGCACACAGGTAGTTCAAATGAGCCTGGCATGGCCCATTATCGACCCTCACCAGGGCTCTAACACTGGGCTGGGACAGAAAGACAGAAGTTAGAAGGGAAGAAAAACAAGGAGAACTGGGGAGAAGAGGGGAGTGGGGCAGGATGCTGTGGTTCCAGAATGTTCTTGCTGACAGATGTAAGCAGGACAGGAAGGGCAGCCAGCTGCCCGTGCCAGGGCCTGTGCCAAGCATTTTCATCTATATCATCACATTTAGTTCTTACATTGCTTATTTTTATAGATTAGTAACAAGACAGTCCCAGCTGGGAAGTGAAGGGGCGTGGGTGTGAGCTCAAGTCTTGGGCTCCAAAGCCCACATCCTCAATCACTGCCGACCCAGCCTTGTAGCTTCTGGGGCTCTTGGTCAACCCAGGCCACCACATGGTGCCTGCCCTCAGCTCTGGCCTCTGAGCCAGGTCACAGATGCGGATGGCTCCAGCTGTATGTCCAGTCTGGAGTAAGTGGGTGACTTCAGTAAGGTGACAAATGGACCCCGTCCCCACCTTGGTGCTGGTGGGAGGACAGGCAGCGGGCGTGGGGTGCCCTGGAGCTGACGCCCCTCTGCTCAGCTCTAGGCTTGCACTCGAGCAGGAAATGAGGGCTCAGCACCACAAGAGCTTCTAATTTTTCAATTCACACTAGAAATTCAGACTCCTATATGAAATATCTAAAAATCCCAATTAATAAAAAGCTGGGAACAAAACAGTCTAAATCTGCAGCTGCTCACCTCCGCTTCAAGACCTTGCACTGCTCATCCACCGATGGCCAGAAGACCTTCAGGAGGGTGGTGCCCCATGCTGCTCCTGTGCGCCCTCCCAGAGGGGAGCCTGGGGGGCTGAGCTGGGGGGGCCAGGCCTGGGGTCTCAGGAAGCCACATCTCAGGGCCAATTCGCAGGGGCAGTAAGGAGAAGCCTGGAGCTGGGGTCACTGCCTGCTGCCCAGGTCCCTTCTGGCTGCAAGGAAGACGGGCCTTGGGACTTGGGCGGCTGGGCGGTGTGTGGAAGGCACGGCAGGGTCCCCACTCCTTGGGACAATGGCCCACGTCTGCCCTTCCACTGCTGCCAGTCAATCTCTCTGCCTGATGCAAAGTGTGGGGAGGGGTAAGAAAAGGGGCAACCCCACCTGGCCTATTCTGGCACCTTTTACTCCACCTCACTGTTTCTGAGTCGCCTTAGCTCCCTAAAGCCCAGAGAAGGGTCGCAGTCCCAGGCAGGTGCCCGAAAAGAGGTAAGTGGGCCCAGGGTGGGGGGCCGCAGCCCGGCGACAGGGTAGGCCTGGTCCCCTCTGCTCAGATGACCCCTGACTGTGGGGGCAGGGGAGGGGATGTGGGCCCAGGGCTGCCAGTTCTTTTGTTTTTCAAGAGAAGCTGGAAATGCTGATTCGTCTGCAAAATCTTCCTCTTTCTCTCTGTGCCTCTCGGCTAGAAGGAGAAGAGCGGCCTCAGCTCTCCCTTCACCCTCCCTGCTAACCCCTGCCCCCTCCAAGCTCACGTAAAGCCCTTCATTCTACTTACTTACAAGTCATAGAAATGCACCAAAGCATTTCCTCTTGTTCCTAAGTTTGCTGAAGAAATGATTCCATGGCCTTCCACAGAATCGTGTGGGAAGCTGCAGAACCCTGGGTGTGTTTCTGATGGTTTCGGCTAAACGTGGGGATGGTTCAAGCATTTGGGACAGAACCACCTCTGAGCGGCCTTTTCCGCCTCCCGCCCAGACAGATGTCCTCCACGGGACCAAGCCTCCGACCCGTTTCAGGGTCTACAGTGCAATCAACTACTTGGCAGCAGAAGCTCCAAGAGATACACTAGATAAAATAATGCTATGACAAATGGGCTCACTTAAAATTTCAAATAAATATGACTAAAAATTATCTTAAATGCACATCTAAAAGCAATTACATCAGACTCAGAAGTCAACAAATCTCCCCACTGAACAACAGAACAATAAAAAAACCTTCCTCGCTTCTTCCTGAACACTGACGTCTTCCAGAGAACAAATGGACCTGCCTGTTCTGAAGGTGAGGTTCCAGGCAGCTACGTTCCAGATGTGTGGGGTCCACCAGTAAGGGTCTCCAGGAAAAAGCTGCTGGCAGAAGCAGCGAGACCCCCAGATCCCCGAGAGCCCAGCTCCATTCTCCCGGCCCAGCCTGCGTTACCTCTTTGCCAAAAGTTGGGACCTGGTTCCTGCGGGGGAGATGAGGTGGATCTGAAGGTCTCCTCGGCGCGGGTGTGACAGGGAGATCTGGGCCACCACGTGCTCCAGGTAGACTACATGCTGGTCCGAGTGGTCAGCACAGGCGCTGGTCAGGGCAGTGGTCCGCAGTGTCTGCGCCACCGGGATGCTCCTGGGGAGAGGGGAGAGCTCACACGCTGGCACCTGAGTTACTGTGTCATGCAGCAGGTGGCAATGGGTTCAGCTGCCTGCCCCCATCCTTCCCTGGATGTGCCTCTGGGTCCTGCAGGCCCAATACGCAGCACCAGCCCCTTACTTCTCACTCACAGAAGATCCAATTTGAGTTCTATCATCTGCCCAGAAGTTACTTACCAAAACAAAACCAGATACTGACTCTGACTCATGGCAGCCCCATGTGTGCAGAGTAGAACTGGGCTCCATAGAGTTTTCATGGCTGTGACCTTTTGGAATCAGATCGCCAGGCCTGTCTTCTGAGGTGCCTCTGGGTGGGTCTAAACCCCTAACTTTTTGGTTAGTAGCTCAGCACTGAACCATCTGAACCACCCAGGACTCCTAGAAGCTGCTCATCATTGTGCACTTTGTTTCTAGAGATTTAAAGAATAGGTTCTTGTGCAGTGTAGGCTGAAGCACCCAGGGATTGGGCCCCTCACGGGCTGTGGTGCCCAGGAGGTCACCTTTTTCCACGGAACACTGAGCCAGAACATTTCCTCAATTACCTAGGGTTGGCAAAGCCTTAAAATCCCACTACTTTGCTTCACCCCACACATCTGTCAGTTTGTTGTACTGTGGTGGCTTGCATGTTGCTGGGATGCTGGAAGCTATGTCACAGATATTTCAAATACCAGCAGGGTCACCCATGGTAGACAGGTTTCCGCAAAGCATCTAGACTAAGACAGACTAGGAAGAAGGACCTGGCAGTATACATCTGAAAAAACTGGCCAGTGAGAACCTTATGAATAGCAGTGGAACACTGGTATAGTGCTGGAAGATGAGTCCCTCAGGTTAGAAGGCACTCAAAATATGACTCAAGAATAGACCATCTCAAGAATAGATTTGACGCATTGAATGCTAATGACCAAAGACCAAAAGAGTTGTGGAATGACATCAAGGACATCACACATGAAGAAAGTAAAAGGTTATTAAAAAGACAGGAAAGAAAGAAAAAAACAAAATGGATGTCAGAAGAGACTCTGGAACTTGCTCTTGAATGTAGAGTAGCTAAAGTGAACAGAAGAAATAAAGTAAAAGAGTTCAACAGAAGACTTCAAAGGGCAACTTGAGAAGACAAAGTAAAGTATTATAATGACATGTGCAAAGACCTGGAGTTAGAAAACTAAAAAGAAGACCACGCTTTGCATTTCTCAAGCTGAAAGAACTAAAGAAAAAAATTCAAGCCTCGAGTTGCTATACTGAAGGATTCTACAGGGAAAATATTGAATGACTCAGGAATAATCAAAAGACAATAAAAAGAATACACAGAGTCACTGTACCAAAAAGAATCAGTTGACTTTCAACCACTTCAGGAGGTAGCATATAGTCAAGAACCGATGATACCGAAGGAAGACGTCCAAGCTGCACTGAAGGTATTGGTGAAAAACAAGGCGCCCAGAACTGACAGAATATCAACTGAGATGTTTCAACAAATGGATGCGGCGCTGGAGGTGCTCACTCAGCTATGTCAAGAAATTTGGAACCCTAAGAGTATGGCCCCCGGACATCCTTTTAATTTAGTACTGAAGTCACTCCTGAGGTTCACCCTTCAGCCAAAGATTAGACAGGCCATAAAACAAACAATAATACACGTAGCTCAACCATGTATACGAGACAAAACGGGCACACCAGTGCATGGACAGAGATGAGAAGGCAAGAGAGGACAGTAAAGCTGGATGAATGGAAATGCGGAACCCAAGATCGAGAAGGCGAGACTGTTGACATGTCAAAGGGTTGGCAACCAATTTCACAAAATCATACGTGTATTAATTGTCTAATGAGAAACTAATTTGCTCTGTAAACCTTCATCTAAAGCACAAAAAAAAAAAAAAAGAAAGAAATTTGGAAGACAGTTTCCCGGTCAACTGACTGGAAGAGATCCATATTTGTGCCCATTCCAAAGAAAGGTGATTCAACAAAATGTGGAAATTATAGAACAATATCATTAATATCAGACAAATAAAATTTTGCTGAAGATCACTCAAAATTGGTTGCAGCAGTACATCAACACGGAATTGCCAGAAATTGAAGCTGGGTTCGGTAGAGGACTTGGAACAGGGATACTGATGTCAGATGGATCCTCGCTAAAAACAGAGAATACCAGAAAGATGTTTACTTGTGTTTTATGGACTAGGCAAAAGGATTCATCTGTGTAGATCATAACAAATTATGGATAACACTGCAAAGAATGAGAATTCTAGAATACTTAATTGTGCTCATGAGAAATCTGTACTTAGACCAAGAAGCAGTAGTTCGAACAGAACAAAGGGATACCACGTGGTTTAAAGTCAGGAACTGTGTGCATCAGGGTTGTATCCTTTCACTATACTTATTCAATCTGTATGTTGAGCAAATAATCCGAGAAGTTGGACTGTGTGAAGAATGGGGCATCAGGATTAGAGGAAGACTCATTAACAACCTGGGTTAGGCAGATGATGCAACCTTGCTTGCTGAAAGTGAAGAGGACTTGAAGCACTTACTGATGAAGATCAAAGACCACAGCCTTCAGCATGGATTACACCTCAACATAAAGAAAACAAAAATCCTCACAGCTGGACCAATAAGCAACATCACGATAAATGGAGAAAATATTGAAGTTGTCAAGGATTTCATTTTACTTGGATCCACAATCAACACTCATGGAAGCAGCAATCAAGAAATCAAAAGACACATTGCATTGGGCAAATCTGCTGCAAAAGACCTCTTTAAAGTGTTGAAAAGCAAAGATGTCACCTTGAAGACTAAGGTGCGCCTGACTTAAGTCATGGTGTTCTCAACTGCCTAATACGCATGCAAAAGCTGGATGATGAATAAGAAAGACCGAAGAATTGATGCCTTTGAATTGTGGTGTTGGCTAAGAATATCGAATATACCATGGACTGCCAGAAGAAGGAACAGATCTGTCTTGAAAGAAGTACAACCAGAATGCTCCTTAGACGCAAGGATGGTGAGACTTCATCTCACGTACTTTGGACATGTTATCAGGAGCGACCAGTCCCTGGAGAAGGACGTCATGCTTGGTAAAGTGGAGCATCAGCGAAAAAGAGGAAGACCCTCAACAAGACGGATTGACAGGGTGGCTGCAACAATGGGCTGAAGCATAACAATCATTGTTGAGCATGGTGCGGGCTTGGCTGTGTTTCATTCTGTTGTAAACAGGGTTGCTACGAGTTGGAACCTAGTTCATGGCGCCTAACAACACAAGTTTGTTTCAAGCACTGGCCTTGAAAATATAAGTCACAGTGCTGAGTAATAACAATAGCAAACATTTCCTGAGCTACTATGAGAGGGCACTGGTTTAAGAGTTCAGGAATTAACTCATCTGATGCTGAGAGAGGTTAAGTGCTGTGCTCAAGGTCACACAGCTGATAAAAGGGAGAGGGGTTTGAAGATAGGCATGCTAGCTCCAGGTCTACGCCCTCAACCTCGACACCCCACTGCCTCTTAAGAGCATTCATAATCCAGGTGCTGTCAAGTCAATTTCAACTCATGGTACCCCATGTGTGCAGTGTAAAACTGTATTCCATCGGTTTTCAATGGTTGCTTTTTCAGAAGATCGCCAAGCTTTTCTTCCAACGTGCCTCTGGGTGGACTCGAACCTCCAACCGTTTGGTTAGCAGGCAAGCGTGTGAATCATTTGTGCTACCCAAGGATTCCCAAGACCATTCACACAGACTTGTATCTCCACTCAAGATGTAGGAAGGGATGAATGGACAAGGAGCATGGGGCCGGAGTGTGCCCTCTTGTGCTGAACGCACCGCTCAAGGCTAACAACTGGAAAAGAATCACTGGAGAATCACTGGGGACTGGTCTGTTTCTGATTTTCCTGGAGAAAGACTGGTGGTCCCTCCCTCTCTTACCCTGTGATGGGAACTGATGACTGTTCTTTTTACAAAGTCAGTGCAGTTTTACCATATGGAATGGAACCTGCGGACAAGCACAAAATCTCATTTGAGTCAATTCCGTTAGAATTTTCTAACAGGCTCCCCAGACAGACACAAAATCTGTAGGAAACGCTACTCCTGCACCTGCTTCGGGCCACCTGTCTATTCCGGGCTCCAGGCTCACATCTTGGGGAGCCCTGGCTCTTGCTACAACGATCTGCAAACTGAAAAACACCACATTCTGTGGTGCAGACAACCACCACCCACCAGCACATTAATAATTCCCCACCACATGGTCAGCGCTGGGTTTACTGTGGGAGCGCTTTCCCAATTACGCCCGGCTTCCCTCTCGGGAGGCCGGGAGAGTATACTCAGTGTCTCTCAGGAGTTACACTGCTTGGCTTTACTGGGTCTGAGTCATAAAAAACAATCAAAACAGTTATAAACAGTGATGTAATTCCGGCAGAGACTTTGTAAATATTTGAAAACATGATTTGCATGTACCGTAAATGGATTTAGAGAGGCTGCCTTTGCTCATTGCTTTCTCCCGAGTTCCACTGTCGGTGTTTACTGGTCAGCGGCCCGCCCAGATGTGGAACAGAACAGAAAGCTCTGGGGAGTCTCAGCTGCTGTGGGGGGCCACCCACATCTCCAGGTAAATTTCCCCCACCCCCAGCACAGAGGAGAAGATGTGTGTGCTCGGGGTCGAGGAAGGTCAGTCAGGCTCTGGGTGAAGATGGGGCAACAAACAAGCCAACAGGCTCCACTAATTCTTCCCTGAGGCTTAAAAATAGGGCCCCCCAGAAAGACCCAGACCCAGTAAGGACCCTACACACACACACCTGAACACTTTCCAAGGGCTGAGCAGCAAGATCAAGCTGAAATACAAACAAGTCGTAATAAAAACCAAACCAAACCTGTCTCCATTGAGTCAATTCCAACTCATAGTGACCCTATAGGACAGAACAGAACTACCCCGTAGGGTTTCCAAGGAGCAGCTGATGGATTCAAACTGCTGACCTTTTGGTTAGCAGCTGTAGCTCTTAACCCCTACGCC